GGCTTTGTCTGTTGCGGCCTCCTGGGGACGCGCGCACGTGCCTGGAGCACACACCCCCTCGGGTCCCGAGCTTCGCGGCGGGGCGACCCCCCTTCCTCACTCCTTACTCCTTTCCTATTCCCTCCTCCTCTTTGTCCCAGTCCCGCCCCCGGTTCCAGGAGAGTCCCAGGTTCCTGAGGCGGGAAACGTTGCCTCCTTTGTCCTCACGGGGCGCGGAGAGGCGGACCCCTCCTTGGAAGCCCCTTCCCACGCGGACTGCAGAGGAAGCCTTTGTGGGTTCGTCGGGTTTCCAAACCTCTAGTCAGCCAGGCCTCAGATCAGGGTCCAAATTTGGAAGAGTTTCAGCTTTCTTTTTCTTTAGTTCATTTGTTTTCATTTTTGAATGTTTTTCCAGATTGTATTTGCTTTCCCTAGAACGGCAGTCTGGGTGCAAGCTTGGGCCCCGAAACGTGGATGCTTAAAACCCCTTTCTACCTTTATTTTCCCTCGTAGTTGAGCGATTGAGATTCTCGAGGTTACGCAGGAGGTTCTGCCCCAGTTAGTCTACCGCCTGGATGAATTATTTGGGGTGTACGGCGGTCTGCATGCTCTCCCCCAGTTCCGTGACCAAATTTGAGGAGAGTAAGGGATCTCTTCTTCACATATCCAACATTGATTGCCAGTTGCTGCTTAGGTGACATGGATCAGCAACGAAGCATCAGTTTCAGTGACATTCTTTTCTGGACTCCGGTAATTCAGTGATGCTGAATCTCTTTCAAGATTTTGCTCACTTTAAAATGAGCGGTGTGATGGCATATTTGTGGTCCACATGGAATCGCGAGGTGCCATCCGAAGTTAGGATTGAAATTTAGGACTTTTTAAGCTTTCTTTTCCTCAGGTATTTGTAGTTGGGAATCTCCATGGATTGCTCAAAGTGCTGCCACTATGCCTTGTGTTTGATGCTTTGTGTGTGGTCTCGTGGGATGTAGTTACAGCAGCCGCCCAGACTGTGAATGAAGTATGGGAACCAGGGCCTCATTCACAGCTGGAAAGCAGGGGGAGGCCGCAGGACACTTGCAGGTGCTCCTCTCCCTGTTCTGTGGTGCCGGGGCCCCTTGCCTATGTGAGTGGCTCGTGGTCCCTGGGATTTGTGAATGGAATCTGCAGGCCCCAGTGTTTGGAATATTTTTTAGTTCAGATTGGAGGCTGGCCATGAGTGCCAGGCTTGGCCTTGCCCCCACTGGGCGCTATTTATCAGTCTCCCTATCGTCTTGGAGCTCAGCCGCCTCTTCCTGGAGCTGAGAGGTGCCTAATTGTTTGTGGTTTTTCTGATTGAACTTGTTTGGTGCCTCTAGGCAAAAATTCCTTTGGCTCCTTCTAGTATTTGCAGAGTCTTGAAGGCCCATATTCCTGAGCATGAGGAATCTAAGTCTGTTTCTTATTTTTCCTAAATTCTTCATGTTAAATACCACATTGACAAAGGACAGCTACTAATACTTTGATCACACAGACATATACGGTGCTCCCTGGTTAAGGCCTCCAGGTAGGGGACAGGTAGAGTCAGTGATGGGGAAGAAGCCTTCCCTAAGTCCCTTTCCTTTGGGTACACAGTAGACTACCCTTTTCTTCTTCAGGCTGTAGCAAGATGTGGGGGTTAGAAGTCTTCTGGGAAAAGCCTTTAGTCGTTTTCTTTGGGCTGGGGCCTCTTCTCTTATGGACTGTTTTCACCCTCTTTGTCGGTTTCTTTTGATTACCTTTCATGGCTCCAGAGGAGTGATTCCTTTCCCCATTTATACCTCTTGGACTTGCCATCCTGCTACATTTTGTCAGCAAGTTAATTCACCTTGTGCAGTTTTGAAAGATATGTGTTAACATTTAGTATTGTGTAAGTGTTAACGTTTAGTACTAGCCCAGGAAATTGTGACCTTTTATTTGAATCTTGCTGTGATTGAAGCTTTGCAGGAACTAGGATTTTCTAGGGTTTGTGTTTGTTTGTTTGTTTGTTTTGTTTTGAGTCAGAGTTTAGCTCTTGTTGCCCAGGCTGGAGTGCAGTGGTGCGATCTCGGCTCACCGCAACCTCCACCTCCCGAGTTCAAGCGATTCTCCTGCCTCAGCCTCCTGAGTAGCTGGGATTACAGGCATGCTCCACTACACCCAGCTAATTTTGTATTTTTGGTAAGACGGGGCTTCTCCATGTTGATCAGGCTGGTCTGGAACTCCCGACCTCAGGTGATCCACCACCCGCCTCCCAAAGTGGTGGGATTACAGGTGTGAGCCGCCACTCCCAGCCTCCTAGGTTCTATTTATTGGATGCTTTTTATGTTAACTAAGTTCTAGCAGAGAAAGATTTGATTTGTTTCCATCAGGAAGTTTGGAATCTGAGGCAGATAGTGGTTTGAGCGGCATCTTTGCACAATGAATGAGTAAAGAGATTTGGGGCCTGGGAGGCATGAGGCAAACTTTAGTTTACTGCTGAAGCATATGTCCATTTTATCTGAAACAAGTAGGTTTCCCGTCTGTATGATTATACAGAGTAAGCTGGTGTGGAAATAATTGTGAAAGTAGGGTAGGCAGGTGGGTGGTGGTTGGAGGCCTCATTGGTGTGCTGATTTTTAAGAAATTTTTATGATATTTATGATCTCAAAATCCTTGTGAAACTTTTCCCTGAGAACAATTCACAGGTGATTGCATTATAAATAGCAATAATAGCCAGGTGCGGTGGCTCACGCCTGTAATCCCAGCACTTTGGGAGGCTGAGGTGGGCAGATCATGAGGTCAGGAGTTTGAGACAATCTTGGCCAACATGGTGAAACCCCGTCTCCATCTCTACTAAAAAAAAGAAAAAAAAAACAACAAAATTTTCTGGGTACGGTGGCACACACCTGCAGTCCCAGCTACTCGGGAGGCTGAGGCAGGAGAATCGCTTGTACCTAGGAGGCGGAGGTTGCAGTGAGCTGAGATGGTGCCACTGCACTCCAGCCTGTGTGATGGAGCAAGACTCCGTCTCAAAAAAATAAAAAATAGCAATTGGAAATTCAGATACATTTAGCATCAGCTGTGTTTAGGCGTTTTGTAAAAGTGATGTCCAGTTAAAATTTAATTTTTTTTTTGAGACAGGGTCTTGCTCTGTCACCCAGGCTGGAGTGCAGTTGCGTGATCTCCACTCACTGCAACCTCCGCCTCCCAGGCTCAAGAAGCAATCCTCCCACCTCAGCCTCCCAAGTAGCTGGGATCACAGGCACATGCCACCACACCCGGCTAATTTTTTGAATTTTTTGTAGAGACAGGGTCTTTCCACGTTGCCCAGGCTGGCCTCAAAACTCTTGTGCTCAAGCAGTCTGCCCACCTTGGCCTCCCAAAAAGCTGGAATTACAGGAGTGAGCCATCGCTCCTGGCCAGAATTTAATTTTTTTTTTCTTCTCATTAAATGTTTACGTAGTGAAGAAATTGAAAATGTAGCTACTAGTTTATTATTATTTTTAAACTTTTAAACCAATTTTATTTTTTTTGTAGAGACGGGGTCTTACTATGCAGCCCAGGCTGGTCTCAAATTCCTGGGCTCAAGTGATCCTCCTGCCGCTCTCTGAAAGTGCTGGGATTACAGATGTGAGCCGCCTTGCCCAGTGGCACTCATTTTAAG